TCAAATTAATTATTTCAACAATTAACAAAAACCAATGTTCACTGAGCTTATGGGTGAACAACTGTATTTATAAATCAGCGAGAAAGACTGAGTGAAACGAACAAGTTACTGACGACATTAGAGTGAACACATGCATGCATTTCAGCATAATTTATGCAGCACATGTTCATCACAACATTAAGATGTCAATGTTTCTGAGGGCAGCAGTTCATTGAAACAAATTATGTAAATGAGACTGCAGCTGCGAGACAGTGAAGCGGACGCTTCGTCCCTAATGAAATGAAATGCATGTGTGGAAGTCGTGGCCTAATGGTTAGAGTCGAACTCATAACCCAAAGGTTGTGGGTTTGAGTCTCGTACCGGCAGGGATTGTAGGTGGGGGGAGTGAATGTACAGCGCTCTCTCCCACCTTCAATACCACGACTGAGGTGCCCTTGAGCAAGGCACCGAACCCCCAACTGCTCCCCGGGCGCCGCAGCAAAAATGGCTGGTGTGTGTTCACGGTGTGTGTGTTCTCTGCTGTGTGTGTGCACTTTGGATGGGTTAAATGCAGAGCACTAATTCCGAGTATGGGTCACCATACTTGGCCACATGTCATGTCACTCATTCACTAATTAAAGGTAAAGCAGCACTCTTTCCAAAGGGAATCGGTTCTCATCCTCATGCCCGTTAATCAGGAATCACTCAAGACAATACACACTGATGAGAGCCCTCGTATCTGTATTAAATCTGAGCGCTGATGAATCTGTCATTACATAGACACAAACACTGATGAGAAAATGATAATTAAGTATTAGCTAATGAATGTATGTGCTCCAGAAATTAATAGCTCTGCGTGCAGTTCCATTCTGCAGTGGAATAATTGCTTCCTAATCTAATAATCACCTCCATCTCTCGAAGTGTCTGCAGCTGATGATCAGTTTTAATCGCTACGTCTCAATCTCACAGCTGTCTTATGAAAACATGTCACACTGCACTTAGAAACAGAAAAAGTTCTATTTTTTTTTATGAAAGCCTTTTTGGACAATTGTTTTGCATTGTGACATGGATGAAGAAACAAACTCATCTACATCTTGGATGGCCTGAGGGTGGGGACATTTAAATTTTTGGATGAACTTTTCTTTCAAATGGCATTCACAACTCATTTCCAGACCTGCCAAACTTGGAGTACCATCATTGTGACGGGAAGAGATGCGGTTCAGTTCAGAGAGAAATAAATAATGACTGCTACACTCTCCTCGCTTTAGAAATCCGTCAGACGACAGGAGTGGAAGGGGGATCGAGTGGGATTTTGTGTTGCAGTCTCTTTTTAATGATAGGCCTTACGCATTTGTCAATTCTCCCCTCTTGCTATTTGGGGAATGAACTCAGCACTGATTGGTCGAACTCTTCTTCTTTTGCTGTTGCTTGATTTGAGTACTGCGCATGGACAGGTGTCACCAGGTTTTTGCGTAGTTTAGAGCGACAAAGCGTACTTTGAGGTCAAAATGCGTACAAGGTTGGCAGGTCTGCATTTCACTTCCAAAATTTGAAACCGGTTTTTCTCTAAGAAAGCAAATGTAGGTCAGGACTTGATTTTATCCAGGAATGAGGAAACATGTCTATACGACAGGCATCAGATGAAGCAAGTTGCATGAAACATTATGACCAGGAACACGCATTGAGTAAGCGTTCACACTTTCACATTGACCTTAATGATCCTAAAACAGGCTGCAGTATGAACATGTTCTTGACCGGTTTCATGAGATTCAGGGTTTGAGCGCTTCGTTGCTCGAGTGGAGCTCACATGAATCTTTAACGCTGGCCAGTAATAAGGATCTCATCTGCTGCAGGGGAATGTGTCACTCGTTTTCAGTGCCTCAGCGGCTTCATTAACCACCGCAGAGCTCAGATTTAGATCCATATTTTAGCAGTTCTCTCGAACAACAAAGAGTTTAATAGATACGTGAACATATGAACGTGTGTAGTTGTAACTATACGACACGTAACGTGTCCTGAGATAGAAGCACACATAAAAAATAAACATGCATTTCCTTAGAATTATTGCATCCACACATCTTCAAGACGTATCTTTCAGAGTGTTTGCTCATCTGCAATACATCTAAAGGACGTTTCCTATCAGATGTCAAATAGACGTTTAGAAGATGTCTCTAAGATGTTTATGATTTAGAATGCATGTAAAACTGACATCTTAGAGACGTCTATCAGATGTTTGCACACACAGCAGATGCTTTCCAGATCTTTTGCAGACGCACCTGTGCTATCTGGGACGGGGTCCGATTCTTCGCTAATTCTATTTGACTAATCAATTGCATGTCATTGAATCTCAAGTGAATCTTTGTACAGATTTTCTTCTTCCATTCAAGCTCAAGATGCTCCTTGGAGACGTTCTCGCATTCTCCATGAGTTTTAATTTAAAATTTGAAATACAAAATGTCAAATATCACTGGTTAGTAATGGAAACCTTTGTATTAAACTACAAACATTTAAAGCAGAAGCATTTTTCATTCGTGACCTCAGACATTTCAGCTCACATGATTTTTCAGTACAACATACATTTTCAATGACTTGAAATAATTTATGTGCAAGTGTCTTAATCGTGAAACAGATCCAAAGAAACAAACACGTGTAGAAAACCGCTTGGAGATATTAGAGGAACCCGGGGCAAGTTGTCATTTATTTCACTTTGGTTAATATTTATCATGGTGCTTATTTTAATATACTGTACAGTCCGCTAATCCCAATATCGGGGCATGTTGTCCCACTATATCGGGGTACGTTGACCATTTCTGCTGAATTTTAACGGTATAAACAATTATGAAACAATAAAAGTCAAAGTTACACGTAGCAAACCATTGTTTTGGCTAATTAATCTACTGACTGAACGTGTGACAACTTGCCCCGAGCTGTCAATTATGAAGATCCCGAGCAGCTTCGGTTAATCTACCTTCATAATATAATGCCTTAATGTATGTCAAATATATCATATTTAGAAATGACCAACATGCAAAACAAGTGCTAGAAAAAAAAAGTACTTTAATGCACAAAGTTATTGAGACAGACCTTGTGACAACTAGCCCCGGAGCAGGTTTACGGAGGTAAAGTGTGAAGAACGAATGTGGAAAAATAACTTACCGTCACTCAGCAGGAGCTTCACGCGCATCCCGACAACGAAACGACAGAAAACTCGTTCATTATAATGGAGAAGCAGAATAAAGATGCGACTGAAGCTGCAGATGATGCGCCCGACCTCCTCTCTCCTCTCTCCTCCTCCCTCAGACGCTCCTGCTCACTATTCCTCTCATTTATATAAAGAGATAGAAAAGGATCATCTATTCCTACTTTATGTATAACTTTAATAACTGAAAAGACGTTAATGTTGTTTTTTCCCAGGTATCAGAGAACCAGAGGATGAAGCATGTGCTGATGCAGGTGAGTTTATGTAATTCAGAGACAAAACAGATCGAGAAGCTCAGGAAGATGAATACTTGAGTGAAGGACAAGAGAGTATTTCAACAAAAATACTAAGAAAGACTTTTTAGTAGAGAGGACAAAGTCAATCGGTCGTGATAAGACAGACACAAGTGAAAGAAAGACGAGGGATAGAAATTAGAGACACATCTAGCTAAAAAAAATAAGATTAGTTTGAGGAAGAGAAAAGGACTCAAGGACAGTCTATTCTGTACGAATTCGGAACTCTCTTTGATTAATCCCTGCTGAAATACTGTATAAAACACCCTGATTAAATGGTTTGCTGCAACAGACACCAAACTAGTTAAAATGGTTTAGATTCATGGTTTTGGACACTGGTCAGCTGGGTTGAACCTACGGTGGTCGAGAAGTGCAAAGCAAATCACAATTCTGAAAACAAACAATTGCATAACGTATCGAGTGTAAATTATAATTTAAATTACTAAATGGATGCCACCTTATTGGTACAATAAAGCCCTCCCTACACCTACCCTATACTTTATTTTCAACTTTTGGATTATTTCCTTAATTTTTATTGAATATAAATACTTGTCATTGGCTTTTTGACGCGATCGACCCGGGTTCGATCCGCCTTTTGCCGAACTTTTTTTTCCTCCCTTTTCAAATCTCGTATTAGCAATGGATTCTATTTACACTAAGTGAAAATAGCAGTATTTTTAGCAATATGCTATTTACACTATTTGTAATAGTGTAAATAGCAACAACAATAATTGTTGTTGTGCTTTCTGAATTGTTATTTTGTTTTTTAGACTTGCGTTTGTAATTTGTTATTTTGTTTTCAGAATTGTGATTTGCTTTGCACTTCTCGGACACCGTATAAACCAGCTAAGATCAGCAGTGAACACACCAGCTATGAAGCTTTTGAATTGTTAGATGAAAACAGAACTAGAAAAATATTAAAATCACGAGAAAAATACCTTCTGAATACCTTCTAAAATTGAACTATTTTCCACTTTTATTCTGCAATTGCTTCAAACCAGAATTTAAAAATATTAATTTCATTTAAAGAAAAAAACAACAACAACAACAACAACAAAAGACATCAAAATTGAGACACGCGTTAAAAACAAGTAAACATCAAACATTAAAACTGCGAAAGTTCACCTATCATACATTTCCTACAAATATAAGTATTTATATCAGGTGCTTTTTTTCATAAATATGGTTGTTTGAATATTCAAAAAGCTCAAAACCAAAGCAATATTATTGTGATATTCTGTAGGCCACACCTAGAGATACTAAAACGCTTCTGTCTTAAGCGGCAAATGTAAATATGGATCATCTAATCAATAATTGACCATATATGTGAACATACATATTAAATGAGTATGCTCTGCATAAGTCAGATCCAAAAGGGACCTCAGGTTCAGGTCTTCAGTAATTAATATTTAACAGCTTCTGGGTTGCTGGTAAAGCAGGTCATGAATATGGATCAGTCTTTTATCTCGGGGTTGGTGGGTTGGTCTCTGCCATTAGTCCGCTTTTCAACATCGAAACAAAGCATCCCTCTAAACCTGTATGACGGATCACAAAAGATGTTTAACAGAACGGCAAAACAAAAATACTGTAAGTCATACAGGTTTTGTAAACACTTAATTCGTAAGTCGAGCTATTCCTCTAAGACGGCTAAGATCGGTTCAGGTCAAGGCTGAGATTGATGGCTGTGTTCTCAGAGCAAAACGACTTAAAGGGATAGTTCACTACATCTCGGATGCCCTGCGGGTAAGCAGATAAACATCACATTTTAACTTTTGGGTGAACTATCCCTTTAAACTCGCTCTTAAGGGACGACAGTGTAGGGCTGGTACGGTAGCATCTTCTGCCTGTCATTGATGGTGTGCATGTTTTTTTTTACTCTCATAGATTTTGTTACCATTGCCATGCATTATACGACTGATAGACTGCAACGGCTGGAGTTAAAAATCATCATATGTGTTCTACTGAAGAAACAAAGTCACCTACATCTAAGCAGATAAACATCACATTTTAACTTTTGGGTGAACTATTCCTTTAAGCTCGCTCTTAAGGGACGACAGTGTAGGGCTGGTACGGTAGCATCTTCTGCCGTGACATGTTGCCAAGTATGGTAACCCATACTCAGAATTTGTAGATTCCGTTTTTTTTTTTTTCTGGACTCCTTTTTAATGGTTAAATTACATTTTACTAATCAAAAAGCATGTCTAATTAATTAAAATCATGAAACTTAAACAATTTAACATCAATTTATTAAAAGTTTAACAAATATTACATGTTTAGGGCCCTATGAAATGTTTTATTTTTCCAACCTTATGTTTTATTGTAACCAAGCACGTCTAATTATTTGAAAGCATAAAACAAGTTCCATTTATTCTTACAATAGCCTCATGATTTTTTGCTCAGAAATTCTGTGTTATGTATTTAAATTTTTTTTAAGGCATAAAACATTCATTTAATCTATCTTTTAAGTAATGAAAATTAAACAAATTGTATTTTTTGGAAAATAAAGGTAGTTTAATATTACAATTAAAACATTGAAGAAATATTGAATGCTTATTCCTTAAAAATAAGATTTAATAATTTTAGTAGTAGTAGCCCGTTACGTACATTCTACTCAACAATTGTCTGCCACAATGTCTTCAAGTTAAACCGAACTTTTATTTTGACGAGTTGCCGTAAATACCTTTTCATTTCTGTGTGTGTATGACATGAGGATAGTTTTACTGAAATGAAACGGTCAAGTGCTCATGAAGTGACCCTCAGGGCAGTTCTGGAGATGTTGTTCATGTATTTAATGTCTGTACAGAGGCTAATATCACCGCAAGCGTCGCGCGCGCTTCAGTACGAGTACTACACAACACCGTGCGTCTGCGCCATTCATTAACACAGAGACACGCAGAATTCATATTTAAAAATGAATCGTTTTGCAGCTTAATATTTACAAATACTAGTGGGAGCGTGCTCACTTGTGTGTGTGTGCGCGCGCAGACGTAAAGACGCAAGACTCACATCCTCAAAGGATTCGTCCCATCCCTCGCTGGTGACGACAAACTGGACCTTCTCGCTCATGTAGTCTTCGACAGCTCTGAGGAATCAAACAGATCAGATCATTTCATCGGTCACGCTCCACCTACAGCCTCTCGAAGGCCTGCCGACGCTAATGCCATTCATCTGAAGCGCTTCAAACGGATTACGGATGCGTCACGCTCTCGCAATTATCTGAATGCATGCCTGTCTCGTACCCGTTGAAGGCGATGATGTAGCGCTGAAGTTGCCTTTTCTGGTTGTCAGGGAACTTGCCGTAAAGATAGAAGCGTGTTCCTGTTAGGAAGTCTGAAGGAGCAAAAACAAAGATGATTTAAAGGTTTAGTTCACTTCCAGAATAAAAGTTTCCTGGGGATTTACTCTCCCCCATGTCATCAGAGATGTTCAAGACTCTTATTCCTCGGCTGGGATCGTGTAGAGCTCTTTGAAGCTGCACTGAAACTGTGATCTGGACCTTCAGCCCGTTGGTCCCCATTGAAGTCCATTACACGGAGAAAAAACCTGGAATGTTTTCCTCAAAAACCTTCATTTCTTTGCGACTGAATACAGAAAGACGTGAACATCTTGGATGCCATGGAGGAGGGTAAATGCCCAGGAAATGTATATTTTGGAAGTGAACTAATACTTTAATAAATGTAATACTCGAGACATCCATGTCAAGATGAAGCGGTGAGGCAGACCTGGCAGTTCAGGGATGGGTTTATCCTCCTCTTCCTCAGCATCCGTGTTCTCATCAGTAGAGCCGCCGTACAGATCTTCATCTTTCACCTGAACTGTGCTTTCCTTTGCTGCTTTCTTCCTCCTGCTCTCCATCTTCACCCTAAATCAGCCGAACACAAACACTGGAGCGTTACGCATCTGGAAAACAAAAGACTTCTTGACATTCATGAGTTGAGACCAACATAAATGTGAGGACTTTTGTCTGATAGCCTGGTATGATTCTGCAGTTGATTATAATGCATTATCAAATTAGCCAAAATAATTAATTAACAAGCATACAACGACCCGGTCAATGCATTTCTGTTTATTAAATATTTTAAATGTCATTTTTGGCATACACTACACCATTCAGATGAATTGGTTTCTTTATTAAAGAAATTAATTTTATTCAGCAAGCACAACATATGCTATAAATGCTGTTCTTTTTAAACTTTCCAGTTATCAAAAAAATCCTCGAGAAAAGAAAGCAAGCATCACGACTGTCTTCAACATTGATAATAATCAGAAATGCTTCTTAAAGCAGCATATTATACTGATTTCTGAAGATCATGTGACACTGAAGACTGGAGTAATGATGCTGAAAATACAGCTGCGCATCACAGAAATACATTACAGTTTAACAGAGATTCACAGAGAAAACAGCTGTTTTAGATTATAATAATATTTCACAATTTTTACTGTATTTTTCATCAAATAAGTGCAGGTTTGCACTTTGACCCTGATCAATAACTCTTCTTTAGCTGCATTTAGACAACATTTTTCAAGAGCCTGAATAACGAGAATCTCAAAACAACTGGGAAAAGAGCACAAACAGGGAACGTCAAAGGACAACTGATGACATATTTAGAAAGCAATAAATGTCTTACCTGTTCAGCTCATCTTCAGTGTCCATGCCAGACGCGTCGCCCTCTGCGAGCAGACGCACAACATGAAAAAACATAATAGAAATAGACAGTAATCGTATTTTAAGTCAACAGTATACACCACAAACTGATCTTAATATTTAAATAATCATGCAGGAAAGCCTATTACGGACAGTCCAGAAAATGAAAAGCTTTACAAATGAAAAGTGCAAAGACGTAAATCTATATAGTTTTAGCCTATCATGCTCTGCCAAAGCTGAAACACAAAAAAAAAAAAAAAAAAAAAAATTTTTTATCAAAAAAAAAAGTATGACATGAGGATAGTTTTACTGAAATGAAACGGTCAAGTGCTCATGAAGTGACCCTCAGGGCAGTTCTGGAGATGTTGTTCATGTATTTAATGTCTGTACAGAGGCTAATATCACCGCAAGCGTCGCGCGCGCTTCAGTACGAGTACTACACAACACCGTGCGTCTGCGCCATTCATTAACACAGAGACACGCAGAATTCATATTTAAAAATGAATCGTTTTGCAGCTTAATATTTACAAATACTAGTGGGAGCGTGCTCACTTGTGTGTGTGTGCGCGCGCAGACGTAAAGACGCAAGACTCACATCCTCAAAGGATTCGTCCCATCCCTCGCTGGTGACGACAAACTGGACCTTCTCGCTCATGTAGTCTTCGACAGCTCTGAGGAATCAAACAGATCAGATCATTTCATCGGTCACGCTCCACCTACAGCCTCTCGAAGGCCTGCCGACGCTAATGCCATTCATCTGAAGCGCTTCAAACGGATTACGGATGCGTCACGCTCTCGCAATTATCTGAATGCATGCCTGTCTCGTACCCGTTGAAGGCGATGATGTAGCGCTGAAGTTGCCTTTTCTGGTTGTCAGGGAACTTGCCGTAAAGATAGAAGCGTGTTCCTGTTAGGAAGTCTGAAGGAGCAAAAACAAAGATGATTTAAAGGTTTAGTTCACTTCCAGAATAAAAGTTTCCTGGGGATTTACTCTCCCCCATGTCATCAGAGATGTTCAAGACTCTTATTCCTCGGCTGGGATCGTGTAGAGCTCTTTGAAGCTGCACTGAAACTGTGATCTGGACCTTCAGCCCGTTGGTCCCCATTGAAGTCCATTACACGGAGAAAAAACCTGGAATGTTTTCCTCAAAAACCTTCATTTCTTTGCGACTGAATACAGAAAGACGTGAACATCTTGGATGCCATGGAGGAGGGTAAATGCCCAGGAAATGTATATTTTGGAAGTGAACTAATACTTTAATAAATGTAATACTCGAGACATCCATGTCAAGATGAAGCGGTGAGGCAGACCTGGCAGTTCAGGGATGGGTTTATCCTCCTCTTCCTCAGCATCCGTGTTCTCATCAGTAGAGCCGCCGTACAGATCTTCATCTTTCACCTGAACTGTGCTTTCCTTTGCTGCTTTCTTCCTCCTGCTCTCCATCTTCACCCTAAATCAGCCGAACACAAACACTGGAGCGTTACGCATCTGGAAAACAAAAGACTTCTTGACATTCATGAGTTGAGACCAACATAAATGTGAGGACTTTTGTCTGATAGCCTGGTATGATTCTGCAGTTGATTATAATGCATTATCAAATTAGCCAAAATAATTAATTAACAAGCATACAACGACCCGGTCAATGCATTTCTGTTTATTAAATATTTTAAATGTCATTTTTGGCATACACTACACCATTCAGATGAATTGGTTTCTTTATTAAAGAAATTAATTTTATTCAGCAAGCACAACATATGCTATAAATGCTGTTCTTTTTAAACTTTCCAGTTATCAAAAAAATCCTCGAGAAAAGAAAGCAAGCATCACGACTGTCTTCAACATTGATAATAATCAGAAATGCTTCTTAAAGCAGCATATTATACTGATTTCTGAAGATCATGTGACACTGAAGACTGGAGTAATGATGCTGAAAATACAGCTGCGCATCACAGAAATACATTACAGTTTAACAGAGATTCACAGAGAAAACAGCTGTTTTAGATTATAATAATATTTCACAATTTTTACTGTATTTTTCATCAAATAAGTGCAGGTTTGCACTTTGACCCTGATCAATAACTCTTCTTTAGCTGCATTTAGACAACATTTTTCAAGAGCCTGAATAACGAGAATCTCAAAACAACTGGGAAAAGAGCACAAACAGGGAACGTCAAAGGACAACTGATGACATATTTAGAAAGCAATAAATGTCTTACCTGTTCAGCTCATCTTCAGTGTCCATGCCAGACGCGTCGCCCTCTGCGAGCAGACGCACAACATGAAAAAACATAATAGAAATAGACAGTAATCGTATTTTAAGTCAACAGTATACACCACAAACTGATCTTAATATTTAAATAATCATGCAGGAAAGCCTATTACGGACAGTCCAGAAAATGAAAAGCTTTACAAATGAAAAGTGCAAAGACGTAAATCTATATAGTTTTAGCCTATCATGCTCTGCCAAAGCTGAAACACAAAAAAAAAAAAAAAAAAAAAAAAATTTTTGTACTAAAATAACTAAACTAATAAAAACATGCATATTAAAAAATGAATAGCAAATTATAAAAAAGACAAAAACTAAAATATAGAAAATATAAAAATAAAACAATCAAAATATTAATAAAAAATTATAATAGTATCTCAGTACAAAAAATTAATTCAAAAAAAACTTTATGTACTAAAATAACTAAAACTTATAAAAACAGGCATATTAAAAATGAATTTAAAAAATCATAAAAAAGACAAAAACACTAAAATATAGAAAATAGAAAAATAAAACAATCAAAATATTAATTAAAAATTATAATAGTATCTCAGTACAAAAAATTTATTTAAAAAACTATGTACTAAAATAACTAATAATTAATTATTAATAAAAACAGGCATATTACAAATGAATAAAAAAATAAAACAGACAAAAACTACAAAAAATAAATGTACTAAAATAACTAAACTAATAAAAAAATGAATAAATTAACAAAAAATGATAATAGTATCTCAGTTACACTAAAATAGCATTGCCACTCTGTATTTCCCCAATATTCTGTGTGCTAGATCTAAATCTCGACCTGTTGACGTCTCTATTATTGCACAGTATGCAGTGCAGCCGCTCAGCCCTAATAACGATCACGATACACAATGATTCATCGTTTTCCTCTGAATGGTTTTAAGTTGCATGAACACATCCAGGAGAGCGAGGCTTGCTCTTGCAGCCCCTCAATTTACATAGAGATGAGAAACATGCCCAAGTCTCGTCTGTGCGAATGCTGCAGGCGCGTGTCTGTAGCACTTCCAGCCTCTCCAATCCTACTGCTCTCTTATGGCCCTCCGGTTTCTATTTCTCCTGATTGATTGGAGCGCTGCTTCATTAACCCGGCCTCTCCTGTCCTCCCTCGTAATCGTGCGACACGCAGCCGGAGTGAAGGGACCCCACGGCAAACGGGTTCACGTGCTAACGACTTTCGATGAGGGCCTGAGCGCAGTTGGCAAGCCTTACCTGTTCTGGCATGTGTTCAGCTTCAGAAGGTGATGATCAATAAATCGCTCAAAATGGCCATTAATGAGCTTTGCTGTGGACGCAGCTCTTCTCGGTTTACATGCATAATCTTACACGGATTCTGCTTAAGCCGTTTAAGCAAAACAACTAGATTATCAACCTGCACGTAAACGACTTTATCGGCTTCCTGTCTGGTTTTTCAACGCCTCGTGTGCATGTTTAGGTTTTAATGTCAAAGGTGGAGAACAGCTTTGCTGCAGTGGCGCTTTATTAGTGGCTCTAAAATAATTTTTCGTTAATTGAAAAAGCTGAAATTTTTCATTATTTGAAATGAAGCTGAAAAATATGAATATTAGACGAAAAACCAACTTAAACGTAAATGGAAATTAGAAATGTTGCTTTAGCAGGTAACTAAAATAAAAGAGTACTTAAACTTGAAATAAATATGAATTAAAGCGAAATAGAAATATTTTAAAAATGACAAATAAATTATCAAATTACTGAAAATTTCATTAATTGAAAAAAGCTGAAAGAATATAAATATTAGATGAAAAAATGACTTAAATGTAAACGAAAATTAGAAATGTTGCTTTGGCGACTAATTAAAATAAAACAGTTTTAGTAGTTTTAGTACTTATATATATATTTTTTTTAGAAATTAAGCTAAATAGAAATATAAAAAAACTAATAAAAAAAATAAAAAAAAAAGGTGAAAATTTTCATTAATTGAAAAAATAAAAGAATATAAATATTACATGAAAAAAACGACTTAAATGAAAATGAATTAAAATAATTGTAGTTATTTTAATACTTAAACTTGAAATACACATATATGAATATGAATTATATAAATATGAATTAAAGAGAAATATTTAAAACTAATAAAAATGACAAAAATGACTGAAACTAAAATTAAAATAAAAGTTGCAGGCATTTAAGCTAATTTAAAATATTATTAAATATAATAAAAGCACTCATGTGCTTCCTGCTTGAGTCGATGCGTGACAGGAAGTCAACAAATCTGAGGATGTCGTCTCTATGGCAACAACACGCAAGGTTATGATGCTCTGTTTATTCACGAATGATGGCGAGACAGTTTTGCATGTTTCTTGAGACGTGAACATATAAAGCAATCACCGCTTTCTGCATTTCCTCCTCGCTCTCATCCTCTTCTGCTTCAGTCTCCGAACTGGACTCGGCTCCATTCATGAGATACCTGGAAAAGACAGCGAGAAACGGCAGACTGAGTCTAACTGCAACTGGACGGGAACGCCTGAACATTAATTCAGGAGGAGATAAGTCTGAAGCTTTGATGGAGATTCCAGGAGCAGGATTTGAGACTGTACACAAATACACAAATACACAAGAGATGCACAGACAAACCAGACCTGGTGTATTTAAGCCATTATACACATTTTTTCTTTCAGTACCTTTACATTTTGCACATTTGCTCCATTAAAGAAATCATCAAAAAAGTCATAATTTCATCCTTGAGTTGTTCTAAATCTATGGAAGCTTATTTCCGCCAAGCATTAAAAATATAACAAAATTATCATATCTCATAATTGCAATATTAATTGTGAAATGTCAATTCTGAGAAAAAAAGGTCAGAATTGTGAGATGTAAATGCAAAGTTTATATCATGCAATTCTGACTTTTTTCCGCAGAACTGTGATTTATATCTCACAATTGCGAGTTATAAACTCTTAAAATTAAAAGTTACAATTTAACTCAATTTAAATATCTTTCTGACCTTTTTTCCCCTCGTAATTTCCTCAGAAATGCAATTTGGAGAAAAAAAGTCAATTGTAAGATTAAAAAAAAAAAAATCGCAACTACCTTTTTACATTTTTGGTGGAGTTTGTATCATGCAATTCAGACTTTTTCTCAGACTTGCAGAAGTTTATATACTGCAATTGCGAGTTATTAACTGCGAGATGTAAACTCAGAATTGAGATTAAAAAGATGCATCTGAATGCAGAATGTCCAAAATGTTCTTTTTCCTGTAAAATAATGGGGATTGTGGCTGTATTATAGTATTATAAATATTATAACACAATATAAGAATTATAACAAGTCCATATGATTCATTTACTTTAAGACATATGTCATGTACGACTTGGAATATAGTGAACCGTGTAAATCGCCATCGCACTGTATTGATGAGAGCATGTTTGTTTCATTGACGAAAGAAAATAATATTATAAAATTATAAATTTTCAAATGGTTTTAGGTGAGATATTCTTTTAAAATGTGCATGAAAACAAACAATCAACGTCTGCTTTATCAAGCAGAAGTATTATTGGGAATAAAACAGAAGTGTGAGCAAAAGGGTTCGAGAAAAGTGTTCGGAGGTTCTGCAAGGACACACACCTGAGCTGATCCGTGTGTGAGTGTGTGTGTGTGTGTGTGAGTGTGTATGTGAGAGAGAGTGTGTGTGAGTGAGTGAGTGAGTGTGTGTGTGTGTGTGTGTGTGAGTGAGTGAGTGAGTCAGTGAGTCAGTGAGTGTGTGTGAGAGAGTGAGTGTGTGTGAGAGAGTGTGTGTGTGTGAGAGAGTGTGTGTGAG